CACACCATCCCAGAATAAAGTTACATCTTCAAGTTGAAATTACTTCTCTGATGTTTCTTCTAATGTACTTGAAAAGTGCCTCATTTATGACTTTTTAAAGATTTATTGTTATTATTTGAAATTATGTGTATGTGGAGGTCAGTGCCTCCAGAGGCTAGAGGAGTGAGATTTCCCCTGGAGCAGGAAATACACCTGCTGTGGGTGCTGGGAATTGAACTTGAGTCCTCTGGACAAACTGCTGAGCCACCTCTCCAGCTCCAAGGTGTGACATTCTTTATCCTGTTTGTTATAAAAACTTAATGGAACAACTTCCGAATTGGAACATGGAATTTGGAGGGCCCTAAACGCTGTGTTCCTTAGCCATGGTCACTCATATTCTGCTCCAGAAGGAACCATCTCTCAATCCATTTGAGGTAAGAGCTCTGTTTCTGCATTGACTCTTACCGCACCAAACATGGGGCTCTGAAAATAATGTACGTTTTACCGGAGGAGTCACCTGGGTGGACGCATTCAGACCCCTGAATCAATGGAAAGCCGTCCCCACGTGGCCTGACCCAGACGCCTCACTGGGACGGGAGGCTTGGAGCGGGCCACCACAACCTGACCATCCTCGTCGTCCAGCCGTGGTGGGAGGGGCCACCCAACACCATGCCTTAAAGTGCTGTTCTGCACAGCTCTGAATGCAGGAGCATCTCCGAAAGCCTCTGAGAGGCGACATCCCGCATCCACAGACTGCAGGGGGCTCTTACCCGGGTTCTCTCAGACCTCCCTTGGTCTGGCCAATGTTCATTTCTTTATTCTGAGCTGGTTATTTAAGTATCCTGTTTGGTAGACCCCTTTCTGTTTCCAACATATTTAGTTTAAGGCATCAGTTTTGTTTGTTGTTGTTTGTTTTGGTTTTTCGAGACAGGGTTTCTCTATGTAGCCCTGGTTGTCCTAGAACTCACTCTGTAGCCCAGGCTGGCCTCAAACTCAGAGATCTGCCTGCCTCTGCCTCCCTAGAGGCATGCGCCACCGCTGCCTGGCTTCCCGTGAGTCTCAGCACTGCTCTTGGCATTTTTACCTGTCTCTGCTCTCTGGAAGGCCAGCAGCACGGGCAGGGAGGAGTCCGCTGGCTTCCTCCCTCACAGTGTTCTGAAGGAGAGGTTGACTTCTCTAACTTTTAAGGTCAAAATATGTACATTTAAGCTCCACATGTTGCCTCTTTATAAGATGTTTGAAAAGGTAGCTAGGGAAATGGCTGCATGGGACAGGTCTGTGTTCCCTAATGCAAGAGAAGACATTGGCCAGCATCACCAGATCTAGGTAAGGGAACCAAAGTCCAGATGGACACCGGGGCAGTAGATGATGCCTGATCCAAAACTTACACTTCTTTCATTTCTTTCTGTCCCTTTTTCTTTCATATACAAATATAATCAGGGGGATTTGGTTTGCCCTCACGGTAAATTTACACACACACACACACACACACACACACACACACATATCTTAGGTTTAAATAACATTGAGAAAAACATTTTCATCAGCAAAAGCATCTCCCTCTGGGCTGTTCAGCTCTTAAAGGAGGAAGTGATAGTATCTTAAGTCTGCACGACAAAGGCCATCTTTTGATCTTCTATGCTACTATCTCAGTTTGGGTTTCCATTGCTGACATACAACACAAGGACCAAAGGCAGCTTGGGGAGGAGATGCTTTTTCAGCTCACCCTCGGGTCACACTCCATCACTGGAGGAAGTCGGGCCAGGGACTCTCGAGGCAGGAGCTGATGCACAAGCCATGGAGGTACTGCTTACCTCATGGTGTGTTCAGCCTGCCTTATTATAGAACCCAGGACCCCTGCTCAGGGATGGAACCATCCACAATGGGCAGGGCCGTCCTGCATCAATCATTTATCAAGAAAATGCTCTGCAGACTTGCCACCAGGCTATCTAATTGAGGTACTTTATCAACTGATGTTCTTTCTTCCCAGATACCCTAGCTTGTGTCCCGTTGACAAGAAGCTAACTAACACAGCTATTAACCCTTTGTCACGTCTGGTGCTCGGAATTAAACCTGGGTCCTCTGGAGGAGCAGCCAGTGTTCTTAACCTGTGAGCCAGATCTCCAGCCCCTTTCCATATCTTAAAGATACAGGGACATAAACTTCCTGCTTTTTTCAATGAGACCCCTAGATTACATGTAATTGTGTCATGTACGTCTATGCTAACTGTTTTCATGTATTGTTTGTGTGGGAAACAATTTAACAAACTCTGACTACTTCATTTCTTGAATTCATTTTTATTGTGTACTAAAATTACTATTTTTATTTTTGGCATTCCTAGTTAAAATATACATGTGAGGATTTACAACTCTATTTTGGTGATGTATTAAAAAGCCTGATAATACTCAGCCTAGTGGCACACACCTTTAACCCCAGCAGAGGTAGAGGCAGAGGCAGAGGCAGGTGGATCTCTGTGAGTTCCAGGCCAGCCAGGTCTACACAGAGAAACTCTATCTCGAGAAACTAAAATTAAAATAAAATAAAAAGTCTGATAAAGAGGCTGGAGAGATGGTTCAGTGCTTAAGAGCACTGGCTTCTCTTCCAGAGGACCCGGGTTTGGTTCCCAGAACCTATGTAGCATCTCAAAGCATTGGTAACTCCAGTTTCAGTGGATCTGACACCCTCTTCTGGCTTCCTCAGGTACCAGGCACACAGGTGTTGTACAGACATACTTGCAGGCAAAACGCCCATGTACATAAAATAAACATGACACACACAATAATAATAATAAAAATTTAAAGGCCTGATAAGCACATACTACCTTATAAACTTGAGTGCTCTGAACATCTTAAAAATCTATTAAAATGATGTCTTTGAGTCTATTTATAAAACTTTAAATTCTAATTATTTATATAAAACAACATTCATTAGAGTCATAAGATAAAGATTTTTTTTAATCTATAAAATTTAGCTTATATAGGTGTGTATGTATGTTTATATCTATATATTGAGAGATAAAGATTGCATTTCAAAGTAGGTTCTAAGTAACTGTATTAATTTAATTTAAAGCTTCATTTCATTTATATAATAGTCATAGGCTCAGAAAATCATATTAAAATATTATTTTTAAAAGAAGTCTGTTTTTATTATTTGTTTTTATTTCATGTGCATTGGTGGTTTTGCCTGCATGTATGTCCATACAAGAGTTTCAGATCCCCTGAAACTGGAGTCACAGACAGCTGTGAGCTGCCATGTGGGTGCTGGGAACTGAACCCGGGTCCTCTGGAAGAGCAGCCAGTGCTCTTCATCACAGAGCCATCTGCCCAGCCCCACAAATACTCTTTTTTTTCTTTTCTTTTTCTTTTTTTTTTTTTTAAGACAGGGTTTCTCCGTGTAGTCTTGGCTGTCTAGGATCCACCCTGAGGATCAGGCTGGCCTCCAACTCAGAAATTTGCCTGCCTCTGCCTCCAGAGTGCTGGGATTAAAGGCGTGTGCCCAGCCCAAATACTCCTAATATAAACTGTCTCCCATCACAAACAAGACAGCCATAGAGTACACATGACTGCCAATATGGGGGAGTACCTCCATCTAGTTTTTTTTTTTAATGTGTAAATTTGTGGAGCTGAAGAGATGGCTTAGCAATTAAAAGCACTGGCTGCTCTTTCAGAGGTCCTGGGTTCAATTCCCAGCAGCTACATGGTGGCTCACAGCTGTCTATATCTGTAGTCTCGTGGGGTCTAATGACCTCCTCTAGTGTGCAAATAAAACACATATACATAAAATAAATAAATAAATAAATCTCTTTTAAAAGATGTAAATTTGGGGGCTGGAGAGATGGCTCAGAGGTTAAGAACACTGACTGCTCTTCCAGAGGTCCTAAGTTCAATTCCCAGCACCCACATGGTGGCTCACAACCGTCTATAATAGGACCTGATGCCCTCTTCTGGCAAGCAGATACATATGCAGAACACTCATATATAAAAATAAATAAATAATTTAAAAAATAAAAAGATGTAAATGTTGGGTGTAAAAATCTGTGTGCCCAGGACTGGGGAGATGACTCAGCAGTTAAGAACACTTACTGGTCTTGCAGAGGACTGGGGTTTGAATCACAGCACGCGCATGCCCTCACAACTATCTCTAACTTCAGTCCCAAGAGCTCTGACGCCCTCTTCTGGCCTCCACCAGCACTGCACTCATGTGCACAGACTCACAGACATACACAGACAAAAATACAATCTTTAAGGGGGGATGGGGCAGGTGGCCTAGGTCTGTTACCCCCAAGCTGGGGAGGGAGAGGCACACAGCCTAGCAAACAGTGAACTCCAGGTTCAGTGACAGGGTTCTGTGGCAATTTCCTCAGAACTGAAACCCTTCCAGGAGACAGGAGGCTTAAGAGCCACAGGAGGTAAACCAAAGGTCCTAGGTCTGGGTGAACAAAACCTTGCAAGAGTCTGGAGGGTCCCTCCCCAGAAAATGAGGCATACTGCTGGAGAAGGGCACGGGAGTGATAACTTGGAGCGGGGATAGGGACTGCCAACTGACGCCACTCAGAGACTCCGTTGTAGCTGTCGTCTGTGTTGGGTGGGCTTTGCAGTGATGATCTGCTTTTGGTCACCCCACTCCTGTGAGTAACCCTTCACCCACACTCCTGTATGCAACACCAATAAAACTCATTGGTTCACCAGCTTGGACTTGAACTTTAGTCTGTCATGGGCTCCCGTTCTGGGAGGAATAGATGTGTGTATGTTGCATCTCCCCAGGAAAAGCCTAACACACACACACACACACACACACACACACACACACACACACACACACACCACTAAGGAAAAGGAGATGCCCCATGTGTGTGACACAGCTGTGGCCATGTGGCTTCCCTTTCTGAGTGATTCTCAAACCTCTAACCCATCCCAGAGCACAGACATCTTTGGCCTTGCCATCTAAAGACCTCCCCACAGGCAGGCCCCCAAACCTTCTCCCATGAGAAAAGACTGACGCCAATTTTAGAAACTCGGCAAGTTTTAAATATGTTAGCAAAATATTAACATTAAATATACATTATAAATAAGCCTTATAAATATAAAACTGATTAAAAACTGATAAAAAAAATCAATAAATTAGTCATGTCCCTCCAAGTAATTGCTCTTCAGCTTTTGAGTCCCCTTCCAGGAGGACCGGTTCAGCGTGTGAAAATTCCACAATACACCACCAGAGGGAGCAACAAGCAGCGAGGACCCAAGATGGGGCTTCCAGGCGCTGGGAGATCTCCCATAAACCCACCCCACGACCGTTTGCACCGTATGTTCCCATTTACAGAGACTTTGATGTCCACCCTATGGCACAGAGTCCAGCAGCTGACAGGCGGAGGGGCCTTACATAAGGACGGACACACACACACACACACACACACACACACACACACACACACACACACACACACTCGACACAGCTTTCCATAGAGAACGCTGACGTTCAGATACATAAAGTGTCCTGCCCACAGTCACGCAGAGACTCAGGGAACAAACTAGAGTTCTGAGCTCTCTTCCCTTGAACTCCTAGATCAGTGCTCCTTTTAGGACACCCTGCCCCTGTCGCAACTGTCCAGCGTGAGGTCTCCCAGACGTCCAGGTATCTGGTCTGAATGGGATGAGGCACAGGAGAGAGCCCCGGACCTGACCTTGCCTTTGGAACTCAGCCACAGGGAAAGGAGGAAGTCTGGAGGCAACGGCTTCAAGTCATGAGAGGAAAGGACCAACAGCCTCGGGGGTTCAGCCCAGCCGTGAGTCAGCTTGTGTCATCAGACCCCTGAATCAATGGAAAGCCGTCCCCACGTGGCCTGACCCAGACGCCCCACTCGGACTGGAGGCTTGGAGCGGGCCACCACAACCTGACCATCCTCGTCGTCCAGCCGTGGTGGGAGGGGCCTCCCAGCGCCACGCCTTAAAGTGCTGTTCTGCACCGCTCTGAATGCAGGAGCATCTCCGAAAGCCTCTGAGAGGCGACATCCCGCATCCACAGACTATGCCGTGTCCATCCATGTGTCCTCAGGCTACCGGGGCACCTGGACCCTGGACGTGGGGCTCTGGCTGCTCCGGGAGGGTCTGATTCTGCGGGCTCCCTTGCGCCAGGCCCGGAGCGGGCTGTGTCTCGGGCTGTGTCTCCGGCTGCGGCTGGAGCCATCTCCCCACTCCCTGAAGACCCTCCCCACTGAGCTCATGAAGCAGTGGTAGCCCCACAGGAAGCGGCAGCTGTCTAGCTTGGCCTGGAAAATGCTTGGTGTTGTAGAGGTGGACGGTGAGGTCCCAGAACCGGCCTGTGTGGGCTCGGGTTTCTCCAGGGTATGGTGGAGCAGCTGCGCCATGCAGTAGACATTGTTTCTGATGCCTTGGATGTTCTGCCTGGCCCTCTCCAGCTCTGGAAAAGCTTGAATCTTCGGAAACTGCTGTCTGAAAGCACCCAGTTGGCGCCAGACTCTGCCCAGTGTGGCGTGGACAGTGTTCAGGAAGCGAGGCTTGCTCAGGGCCCGTAGGGTGTCCTCACTCGGGAAGGTCACAGGGTTCTCTGTGCAGGCAGCTCTCAGGTCCGATGTGTTCAGGCTTTGGAGGAGAATCTGAGGAAGGGAAAGAGTGAGGAATGCATGCCAGAAACCGCCCCCTCCCCCAAATACACACCGATGAAGCTGCCTTTGCTGCCTTTACAACACTAGCTCTTGTGTGTTTCACACTAGATTTTCCCAGCAAAGAGACACAAAAGCCAAGGAAGAAGAGATAACCCAGAACGGCAGAGATGGGACGCAGAACTGGGATGGGAGTGCTTCCAGGGCCCCGGGGGGGGGGGTCACTGTGCACGCAGTGGATGGGGTGAGGGTCTGCAGAAGCACTGGACTAGTTCACTCTCTACCACATCTGGGAATCTAAAACAAAGTGCCAAACCATCCAGACCAGGGGATGGAGTTGGGATCCAGACAGCTCCACCTGCCCCTTACTGGTCCTCCCTCCCTCCACTTTCTCACTAGTCCCCGAGATTCTCTGAGGCTCACGCGCCCTAAGGGCTGGCTGAGGCTTACATAGGGCTCCATGAGCGATCCCGTGTTCCCCGTGATGTTCGCCTGATTCTGCAGCTGGCTGAGGAGCTGTGGGGAAGAGCTGGAGCAGCCGCGTGTGGCCTGTGCCATGCTCAGGAACAGGAGACGGAGGGCCAGACCTGGGGCAGAGAAGGAAGGGTATGTTTACCTGACTTGTGGCATGGTACAGTTCTTACGCCTGGGGGTGCAGCCCAGAGCAAGAGCTGGGCATGCAGCAGGCACCAGGTCTGCACAGGACACCCCCCAGGCTGCCACCTCCCCAGTGAGTCACCACGCAGACCAAACAGGGTGAGGGGGGTGCAATTACTAAGCACGGAAGCTGGGTGTTTGCACACAACATCCCTGTCCTGACCTTAGGGCACGGGCTGAGGCGATGAGTCCACTATAAGACGTCTGGCCTCACACAAGGGTTGGTCTAGACCTAAGACTGACTGGTCAAGTCCCTGACTCCCATACAATCTTAACATTCCATGTAGACCGAATGGAGTGGACCTGGGTGCAGCCTTGGGCATCAGGTCACCTGAGTTCTGTTCACAGAGCTAGGGAAGGCACTCTCCACCCACAGGGCCTGCCAGTGCTGATACCCCGTCTACTGAAAGGTGAACTATGTGCCAGAGAAAGTCCTGCCCAGGTCACACATGCCCAGAACTCTGCTTGACCTTCCTGCCCCTCAGTCAAGAAACCCCCACACATGCACACTCCAGGGATACTGGGACTCCCCAAGAAGGTTGTGGGGGTGAGGGTAGACTAGCATAGTTCCAGCTCGCTGGCCCCCACCCTCAGGCACCGGCAGCCACGTGGTCGGAAGGGGCCTGTGGTGCAATGGCCCGGAAGGCTGTGACACCATCCTTCCCTTCCTACAAACCGACCAGCCCCTTGGGGAGGGCCAGGAGCCCAGGCATGCCAACCACAAGTGCCCTCCCCAGCTTCCCCAGGTGTCTGTAGCTACACTACCAGCGAGGGCCCACGGCGAGCACGTAACAGGTGCACGTGGAGCAGCGTCTGTAGGGGTGTGCCCGCGAGCCTGTGTGAAGCCCTGAGGTACCTGCCCCGTTCACTGGGGCTTCTGGTCTGCAGGTAAGCCTTCCTGCATCAGTGTGAGGGAAGACCCTCACCCACATTGGGGGCTTTGTTTGCTTGTCCCCATGGGGGTGTGGCTGTGTGTGCAGATCTGAGGCCCTGAAGCTCGGCTGAGTTTCCATCCTCCCTAGACCCTGGCAATTGAGTCAGGACAAGAAGGAGGCCCCATCCCAGGACCTGCCGCACTTCCTCACAGATCTGCAACTTCCTTTTCTGCTCCTCTTCCACCTGCCTCCGGCTTCTCCACCTTCTTCCCGCTCTATCCCCTTCCCTCATGCCCTGGGCACCAACACAGTCTATCTCACCTCCCTCTGGAAGCCCTCCAGGAATACCACATCTCCATCTGTGGGTATTCTGGGGTCTCAGTGGACCCCTGACCTCCTAGTTCTCCTTCTCATCAGCATCATTCACCTGATGCCAGATCTCCAGCTCCCAAGGGGCAGAAGGTGCCCACCGCAGCCAGTTGGCACAGCTGTGCCCTGGGATGGCAGAAAGGAAGGAAGTACTTACTGAGCAGTGTTCTCTGTGGAAGCTGTGTCTGCATGCTGGGCGCTGGTGATTCGGCCCGTGCCGCTCTGGGGTGACACGGCTCGGCTGGGTGTCCTGCGGGCTGGCAGCCACTTTATGCCCGACAGGGCGATTGGCCAACACCTCGTGAGGTGGGTGGGGAAGGGCAGGCCTTCTGGGAACATGACCCCAAAAACCAAAGTCTCCACAGGCGGCCAATGGGCGCCAGGCGCCATGACAAGCCCGCTCCTCCTCCCGTTTTCTTCGAATTCGTTCTTCGAGGTCAGCCCCACGCCCAAGGATGATGTAAACCGCAGCCTCAGCCTTTTTGGGGTGAGCGGGCAGCACGGGGGTCCATGCCATCTTCGGTGAGTCAGCCCGGGGGTCAGAGCAGGAGCTGCATGCCAGGCCTCTGGAAGCCCAGGCCACCCTTGGCCCAGGAACCGCCAACCTCACAGGACACTGAGGTTCAGGGCTCAAGGGAGCTAAGACATCTTCCTCGTTGAGTGCCCTTCCCACCCTCTCGCTTGGGCTGTCGGGACATCTGTGAGCGGAAACCACCAGGCTCTGGGCACAGAGCCAGACTCGGGCCCCGAGAATCTAATCCTAGGCCAGCATCCTCTAGCCCGGCTCCTCATCCCTGCTCTCCCCATTATCTGGTCCCTACAGCCTTCCCAATCCCAGAGCCCCTCTCTGGAGAGAGGATCCTCTAGGGAGACCCGGACACTTGGAAAGGGAGAGAGTAGAGACTAGGTCTCAAACCTTCCGACATGCTGTGTGGCCCGAGGCAGGTCACTTCGCCACTCTGAGTCTCACCTGCACAGCGAAGAGGAGAAAAGCATTTCTGGGTTTCACCCCACAAGGCCACCGCCAACATGGACATAAAAGGCAAAAAAGCCTTTGAAGGAAAAGAAAAGACAAAACTCGAATTCCAAGTACCGGTTTTCGGGGGATGGGATGCAGGGGGGCGGGGGAGATGGGGAAGCTGTGAGCTCAGAGGGGGAAGCTGGAGTCGGGGGGGGGGGGGGCTGCGGCGGTGGCAGTTGGAGACCAGGTTTCACTTTCTCTGAAAGATAGTGATCCATCATGGGTGGGTCTTCTGTTTCTTAGCACCCGCAGCGGAACATGACGACATTCGGCCCTGGAGACAGCGTCTCCTGGTCTGTTGGCGGCTTTGCTGTGGTAAACTGAGCCAGGCTGACCCAGGTCCACGGTCCATGCTTGGAAGCCCCAGCATGCCTACCCAGCTAGGATGAGCATCCTCAGGCTGTAACCTCGGGGACCAGAGGTAGCCTGAGGAGGTTGGGTGTGGGTCCTGGGACTGGGGGGGACCTGAGCTGCTCCAGGTGCAGGGACCCTGCAGAAGGAGCCCAGCCCCGGCCATACCACCTGCTGCTGGTCCTCATGTGTCCACTGAACAAAGATCTTCACCCCCACCCCCCATCTTGAGGCACCCACCCACTCCCTGTGCCCAGCAGAGTGCTCGCCTTGGCGGCAAACCGCCAGACTGGCCCGGTCCAGATCCTCTTCTTGAGGTCTTCATTTCCTTCTGCTGAATTTCTCACCTCTGCCCACCCCAGGGTGCTGTTCCCTAGGGCCCTGGACAGGGCTCCTTCTGCATTTCATATCCCTGATGTCATCCTGGGACATCCTATCCCCCTACACCCAAGCCCCGGCAGGGAGCTACCTCATCTCACTGTGGCGAGGAGACAGAGGGCAGCTCTGTGCAGCCCCGGGGTCTGGCAGGAGAGCACCTCTGGACCACTGTGTTGGCACGAGGGTCTCCATCACCGCAGCTCTTCCTCCTCCATCATGAATCCTACTCTGTCTCCTCTGTTCAAAGCAAGAGGTGACCCCCCCCCACTAGAGGTCCCTCTGCAGAGCTGAGAGGTCATCCAAAGCTGGTCATAGTGGTACACATTTGTAATTCCAGCTTCTGGAGAGGCTGAGGCAGCAGTGTGAGCCAGAAGCCAGCCTGGGAGAGACAGGGAGACCCGATCTCAAAATGGAATCGAACTGGGCATATGGTCCCAGCGCTCAGGAGCCGGTGGCTGACAGGGAGACTCTGTCTCAAAGAAAGAAATAAACTGAATTAAATAAAGGAAAGGGGGCTGCCAGCATCTGCCAAGGCGAGGTGCTGGCCTGGACACTTGATGTGTCTACCAAAGAAAAGAAAAAAGGAAGGAAGGAAGTACACTTTCCCTGGTGTCTAAAGGCCCATGCTCTTAGCTCTGGGGCCAATCTGAGTGTTGTGTGCACAGACTCCTGGGACCACTGTCACCGAGGGCAAGACCTGTGTGTGCATATTTATTTCCTGGAATTGTCATAATGGTGTACAGCTGACCCTTGGTATATACAAGTGACTGATTTCAGGGCCTCCTTCCCAAAGGTACCAAGATCTACCGAAGTCTCAGACCCTTTTAAAAATGGTGTGGTGCATTCATGGAACCTCCATCTGGCCTCCTTGGACCGAAACCTCCCTAGATGACATAATCCCCAGCACAAGGCACATGCTATAGCAAACAACCGTGTCGTTGGGGAATCACAGAAAAGAACGTCTGAGCATGTTCCTTGCAGAGGAGCCCATCTCAGTCGGGCTCCTTTTCTGCACACACCTCTTTGTGTCCTCTGATGTGGAGCCTATGGATGGACAAGTGGGGCACTGTCCCCCAGGCCATGCAGCCTCAGCTGTGTGCTTCCCACCACTGTAGAGCTGGACGTTTGAGTGAAGCTCTCACCGGGGCTGGCTCTTTCTCAGGGACCTCTCCTTAGCTGTTTATTTATTTAGGCCGCTTCTCAACGGTGTAGCCCAGGCTGGCCTCCGACTCCCCCTGGAGTCCAGATTGGCTTCAGGTTCTCAATCCTCTCGCCTTGGCCTCTCTGGTGTTGGGATTATTGGAATATACCACCCCACATGGCTGTTCCTTGGCTTGTAAGTGGCCACATTTTCACTGGGTCCTTACACAGTCATTTGCTGCTTCTGCAATTCTGTACCCCATCTCTGTGTGTGGCACATGCATGCCTGTGTACATATGAGGGTGGGTGCACATACAAATCGTGTCTGTGCTTGTGGAGGCCAGAGGTCATAGTTAAAGCGTCGTTAACTGTCTTCCTCTGTTACTCTCCACATTTGCATACAGGGTGTGTGTGTGTGTGTGTGTGTGTGTGTGTGTGTGTGTGTGTGTGTGTGTGTGGTGGATGTGGAGGTGTGTGGATGTATATGCTGTATGTGGTGGTGGTGATCTGTGGATACATGGGAGTGTGTACGTGCACACAGAAGCCACAAGAGGACACCATGCATCCTGTTCTAGCATTCTGTCTTATTCCCTTGAGATGAGATCTTTCGTCTGAATCTGGAGCTAGGCTAGCAGTTGAAAGCCCCAGGCATTTCCGTTTCTGCTCCTCCACAGTGCTGGGGCTGCAGGCCTGCATGACCACATCTGGCTTTTCACATGGATTCTGGGGATTTGAACTCAGATCCTCATGCTTGCAAAGCAAGCTTTTTCCTGATGGAGCCACCTCCCCAGCCCCCAATTTCTTCCCTAATCCAGTTACACTGAATCAGAGCCCACTCAATGACCCTTTTTGGTTTACCTCTTTAAGGGCCCCATTTCCCAATACAGTCATATCTGAGATGCCGTGAGTTAGGATCGTACATGATGACGTCAGGAACAGGCTCCAGACCCTAACAGAGGAGTCGGGATTGGAGGGTGAGACACCAGTGGAGGTCCTTGGGGCTACGCAGGGGCCGTGGGAGTGGCCCAGAGGCCCAGAGGCGGAGCCTCACCACCACCCAGGCCAAGCGTGAGGGAAGATGCGTCAGCGATTCTGGTGAGGTCAGCTCCTAGTGACGTCGCCGCCGTCGCCAGCAGGAAAGGCTTGCAACAGCCCGTATAAATAGGATCCTCAACCACAGGGCCCGGGCTGTCCCCCCTTCCTGGGCCACGTCAGCCGGGTCCTCGTGATGCGGAGAGGAAGGGAGGGTGGGTTTACTTCCTCAGAACTGCTATCTCCCGGCCTTTCCGGCCCACCCTCCGCCTGTGAGGGCTCTGCCTCTTTAAATGCATGGACAGGACCTGCCACAGCCCGAGGTGGGGTGCAGGAGGCTGCTCCACTGGGCAGAGAGAGTGGACCCCCACTTGCTGGTGGACACAGATTCAAGTTCTAGCCTCTGCTACCCATGAGCCTATTGTTCTCAACCGAGTCACGTCCTCTCTCAGGGCCTCGGTTTCTCTTCCCTGTAAACCTCAGCGGCACAATTCAACAACGAGAAGCAAAAACAATTCGATTAAAAATGGGCAAAAGGTGTGGTGGCACATGCCTGTGATCCTAGCACCGAGAGGTAGAAGCAGGAGGATCAGGAGTTCAAGGTCAGCCTCAACTACACCTTGAGATCAAGGCAGTCTGTGCTTCACGAGATCCTGGGGGATGGGTGAGGTAGTGAAACTGGGAAGAGTGTGCTGGCGATGGAGCAGTCAATGAAGCCTGGATTTCATTCCCAGAACCCGCATGGAAATGTCAGGCATGGCGGCCTACGCCTGTGAACCTGGCAGCTGGGCAGTGGAAATGGCATCCAGAGGTTCACTAGCCAGCCTAACTGGTGAGCTCTGGGCTAACAAGAGACCCTGTCTCAAAGGAGGTCACTGGTATTCCTAAGGATGACACCCAAGCTTGTCCCCAGCTTCCAAGTATGTGTGCGCACGTGTGCGCGCACGAGCACACACACACACACACACACACACACACCCTTGACAAAGGATTTGATCAGA